TGGGGGACGGACAACCGAAAAGTGAGTGAAGGGAGACGTCGGACAGGGCAACATATGACAAAATAACAATTTATAAATTATCAAGAGCTCATGAGGAAGGGGGGAGAGGGAAGGGAGGGGTGAGCGGGAGGAAGGGGAAAAATGAGGACCTAATGCCAGAGGCTTAAGTAGAGAGGAAATGTTTTGAGAATGATGAGGGCAATGATTGTACAAATGCGCTTTACACAATTGATGTATGTATGGATTGTGATAAGAGTTGTATGAGTTCCTAATAAAATAATTTTTAAAAAAAGAAAGAAAAACAGACAGAATTCTCTGTCTGACAAAACTATCCTTTAAGGATGAAGGGGAAGTTAAGTAATTCTCAGATAAGCAAAAGCTAAGGGAGTTAATTACCAGTACAGTTAACTAAGAATTCTCTATCTGGCAAAACTATCCTTTAAGGATGAAGGGGAAGTTAAGTAATTATCATACAAACAAAAGCTAAGGGAATTAATTACCAGTAGATCTGCCCAATTAAAAAATACTAAAGGGAGTGTCGTTAGGATGAAATTAAAAGGCAAGTTGGAATAGAGTCAATTGACTTTTAATTGACTTAGGGTGACCCCATGTGTGTCCAGAGTAGGATTGTGCTCGATATAGTTTTCAATGGTTGATTTTTCTGAAATAGATTAGCAGGTCATTTTTCCAAGGTACCTCTGGGTGAACTCAAGCTTCCAACCTTTCAGTAAACAGCCCAGTGCATTAACCATTTACATTACCCAAGGATTCTGAAATAAAAAGACCCTAAATGTCAACTTAAAAGTCATAAGAAGAAATAAAGAACACTGGTAAAGAAAAATACACAGGTAATAAAAAGGCAGTATTATTGTAGTTTTGATATATATAAAATTTACTCACTGCCATCATGTTATTTCTGACTCATAGCAATACCACAGGAGAGCATAAAACTGTCCCTGTGATTTACCAAGACTGTAATTCTTTTTTTGTTATTGGAAATACTGTAACAGCTTTGTTTATTTTTTAATCATTTTATTGGGGGCTCATACAACTCTTATCACAATCCATACATACATCAATTGTATAAAGCACATTTGTACATTCTTTGCCCTCATCATTCTCAAAACATTGTTCTCCACGTAAGCCCCTGGCATCAGCTCCTCATTTTTCAAGACTGTAATTCTTTATGGAAACAGAAAGCCTCATGTTTTTCTCAAATTGCTGGCTGGTGGTTTTGAACTGCTAACCTTGTAGTTAGCAGCACAACATATAACTACTTTTCCACAAATAAATGTATAAGTAAATATAATTTTAGGTTAATTGGCACACAATATATAAAAATATATTTTGTGATAATAAAATTCAACTTTATCCTGATGAAAAGAGATTCACTTTAGATTGAGAGATACAAAGAGGTTGATCATAAGATGGAAAAAGATAGTCCATGCAAAGGAATACCAAAACAGAGGTGGAGTAGCTATTTTATTATCTGAAAAAAATAGACTATCAATGGAAAAAGAGTTACAATATACAAAGAAAGACAATATATATTATTGTTGGAAAGCTACATCCAGCAAGATGATGTAATAATTATAAACATATAGGCACCTAAAAAAACCCAAAAAACATATAGGCACCTAACTACAAAGCTCCCAAACATGAGACAAAACTTGACATAATTTAAAGGAAAGCAACAATTGAACAAAGAGTTGACTACTCAAGAGGCCCTTATTATTCTGAGAAAAAAAAAAATCAGGAGTGACAGAAAAATACTGATACCTTCACACAAACTAAAAGTTGTATCTATGGTAGAACATCATAAAAGGAAATTCTGGATGATATGCTTCAAAAATAACTAAATAGATGCCAAACAAATGGCCTGAGCTGCAGAAATGAGTGGAGAACAAAGAAGGTAGAAAATAAAAATGTAAATTATACCTGCACATACAAATTTATATATATGTCTATATATGGTTAATACATGACCATTTTAGCAGATAAAGAGATAACAGTTAAAGTATTAAAAGTCTTTCAATTATTTTAGAGAAGGATACAAGCATTGAATAATATTAGATATTAACATATTCCTAGGAAAATCACTAAAAAGATTTACAATGCTTATTTATACAGTGCATAATTTCTAAAATATTATTGAGAAATAAATGAACAAAAAATATAACCAATTCAAAGTGAGTAGGAGAAAAATACAAAACCAGTAAAACAAACAGCATATATTAAGATAAACTCAAACCAAATTCACTGTCATTAAGTCAGTGCTGACTCATAGTTACCCTCTGTGGGTTTCCAAGACTGTAACTGTAACAGGAGTAGAAAGACCAGTCTTTCTCCCACTGAGCTGCTGGTGGTTTCAAACTGCTGACCTATGCATATCACAGCCCAACACATAACCACTACACCACCAGGGCTCCTCACCGTATATACTAGTGTATAAGCTGAGTTTTCAGCACATTTTTATGCAGTTTTTGTGGTAAAATTAGGTACCTAGGCTGATACTCAGGTCAGCTTATACTTGAGTATATACAGTATATATATATAGTTGTTTTTTTTAAATTTATAATCATTTTATTGGGGGCCTCTTAAAACTCTTGTTACAATCTATATACCAATTATATCTGACATATTCATACATTTATTCCATCATTCTTTTCTAGACATTTACTTTCTATTGAGCCCTTGGGATCAGCTCCTTTTTTTTAATACAGTATCTATATTAAGATAGAAGATTTAAATACAAATACATAAGAAATTACATTAAAGTGAACTAAATATTCCAACTGAAAGGCAAAGATTGTCAAACATAAAAACAAAATCAACACTATGATTCTTACAAAAGACACTTCTAAATAAGAAGTCAGAAAACTTGAAAATAAAATAATTAGAAAATATATATCATGTAACTATTAAAATTAAAACTGATTCAGCCTTATCTGTTTCAGACCAAAAAAGATGTTAAGACTAAATAATTCTATAATAAAAAGGGTTATTGTAAGATGATAAAAAGTTTGATTATATAGGAAACTGTGATCATGCTAAATATGATATATTAATAAGATGGCCTTGCTATATAAAAAGTTAAAGGAGCCCTGGTGGTGTAGCAGTTCTGAATTGGGCTGCTAACCACAAGGTAGGTAGTTCAAAACTACCAGCTGCTTCTAGTGAGAAATATGGGCCTTTCTACTTCCACAAACAGTTACAGTCTCCGAAACCCGCAAGGCAGCTTTACCCTGTCCTGAAGGATCGCCATTGGTTAGCATCAACTCAATGGCAGTGAATGAGTATATATACAATTAAACATTCAGTGCACTAAGATGAAAGTAAACAAAACCATAATCACAGTGGAAGATTTCCACATATTTCTTGTTGTATTGGATAGAATAATCATTAAAAAAAATCAGTAAGAATTTACAGATTAAAGAAAACAAAGACGGATTTACAGGATTTTTACAACACAATTAACAATCCTGACTGAGTGAATATCCATAGAAACTTTTCAATCATTCAGGAACTTTTTTTTTAATTGACTATCCACTAAACCAAAAAAATAAGTTTCAAGAAAATTTAAATAAATAAAATTTTACATAATATACACTCATTAAAATAAATAAACAAGGGAGGAACATCTAGACAACTTCATGTCTTTGGAAATTAAGAAAGATATTTTAAAATAACCTAGGAGTTAAAAAAATATTATGGAAATGTGAAAATATTTTAAACCAACAATCAAAATTTCTGGTATATGACAGCAAGCTGTTTTTAGAAGGAAATATATATAGCCTTAAATGCACATATAGGAGGGAGGAGAAATTGTAAATTATTAAAATTAGTACCACACCAACAAATTAGGGAAAAGAATGGCAAAATAAGTCTATCCAAAGTAAGCTGGAAAAAAAACTAACACAATTAAGAAAGTAGAGAACAAATATACAATAGAGAAGAACCATAGAGCCAAATATTAGTTCTAGATAACGATAAGTAGCACTGATAGAACTTCTGGTGAAACTGATGAGAGAGAGAGGAGTTGGCATAGTAGGCTTGAGTCTAGAATATTAAGAACACCCTGATAGCAAAGTGAAACCTAGATTTTGGGGGCATTCTTGTCATTCCCAGAACTGAAAAGAGCGGCTCTTTGTGCAAACAATATGATTAATGCTGAACACTTGTTTTCCTTCTAGCAGTCTGGATTTTAGATATATTCTAGATTGAAGGTGAGACAAATTCAAGAGGAATGGTGTCACATTAATCATCAAAGAGAATATTTTAAGATCTATCTTAAAGTACAATGCTATCTGTAATAGGATAATATATACCTACAAGAAAGTTCAGCTAATACAGTTTTAAGCATCAACCACTAAAATCGATGATGGAGAAATTTAAGAATTCTACCAACTTCTCCAGTCTGAAATTGATCAAAC